TTGTTGTAACCACAAAAAAAATATGGTTTTCCTATGAATGAAAGTAATGATTATCAGAGAATTTCCGCAGGTGTTGTAACGAGCTTCCTCAAGCGTTGTTTACGCTTGAGAAAGCTATTGATTAGGGAAACACGTGTCGCGATTTTTGTAACACCCTTTATAGTGAAAATCATACGATAAGCTTTATTAATGAGTTTTGATATTAATTTTCATCAAGTATCAGCTAGTTCTATTCAATCAAAGCTTTTTATATTTTAGTTTGATTTCTTGAAGAAGAAACGAAAAATTGAACATTTCGGTAAGTTGATTATGGAAAACAAGGAAAGGATCATTTTGGGGTAATATGTTTTTCAGGTCAAGTTCAAGACAGTTTCGGCAGAACGTATTATACTTCACACTGTATAGTCTTCCATATTTATATTTATCATTTTTCATAACATCGAGATCTATACTTGTGATGCACAGTTTGGAACCTCTGGTGTAGTAATGAATATTACTGGAGTTTTATCTCAACACCAAACCGTTATTTTAACACCTCGACACGTGTTTCGATCAACAAAAAATCATCTTCAAGAGGAAGATTGAACCAAAAATACGTACAATGTTATTTATACCATTTCATACATACATACACTGTATATGTACCTTCGTCTTAAGTGTCTTAAGTTAATTCCGCAATGTTGCCTCATTTACTAGTCTTAAATTAAGAGTTCTTATGTAATAGTCCGGTAAATCTGACACTAGGGTATAAATAAGGATAACATTGTACGTATATTTAGTTTGATAGGGCTCTTGAGGACAATTACTTGGTGATCCAAACACGTGTCGAGGTGTTAAAATAATGGTTTGCTGTTGGGCTTCATGATCCTGAGGAAATAACTGTGCACTTAAAATTTTCCAAGTGAAAGTTACTCGAAATATAATCGATACAAGAGGGGGAATATTGACAAATGCCTGTTTATGAATTGACATGCATGTACAGATTGAAAGAATTGAATAGTTTATGAAGCGTTCGGGTGGTCGGTGAATTCATATCCATGTAATCTATATTGAGATCTCCAGTTACAACTAAATTTAATTATATCAGTAAATCGGTCTAAAAATAACAATACATCTGCAGAGGGCGCTCCATAGAGGCACATAATTACAATTTAATTTTGAAATAGCAAATAGGGCATTCAAATATTTTATTTAGAAAATTCAGAAATGAAATCATTATTGACTAATATCATAGTGCCACCATAACCAGCTTCCATATAATGTTTTGAGAGTGATTAATAAAACAATATTTGAAAACATTTGAACTTCTAGAAGTATCAGTAGTTTATCGGTTTATTATTGACTAAACATTTAGAATAAATAGAGATATAGTTTGCTTAACATCATCATTTGTTACCTACTGTTTTACCATTTGTTTGTCAGTCTATTCCAAAATGGATATCCCACAACCAAACTTTTCTAAGGTCAAAACACACTTTTTCATGTAGAAGTTCTGCTTTTACATTTGCTGCAACATCAACCAATATGTGTCACTGACGACATATGATTAAAACTCTAAATCCTCTAGCTACTAGTTATGAATAGAATAGAAGTTTATTTAACCACATTACACTTTACATGTTTGTAGCAAGTCATAACAAATTTGTTACATATGCTTACGCACAGCAAAAGTATTTTCAGATCGGATGAGTATAAAATATAATTTAAGATAAAAAGTAGAGCAACATAAAGATTAACATTAAAAACATGAAAGAACAACATGATATAGCATATTTACGGTAGTCAGATGAGTATGTTGCTTGTATGTTGAGACTTGGGAGCGATTTTTAAAATACCCCAGGTAATCCGAGAGTAAAAGCAGCCCTCCAATAGTAGTTGTTTAATGGATTGTTTGAATTTATTCATACTAGATCTTTCAGCTTGACTGGTAAACAGTTATATAAGTTGTAATCCAAAGAATTTTTTTGTGATTTAGCTAGGCGATATCGATTTGTACAGATCTTTTCAGTGTTTCTCGTACGGTACTGATGAATATTAGAACGTTTAGGTAAGGTACTCGCAATTCTGTGGATTTCTAGCAAAACATGAAAAATGAATAACGTTGGTACAGGCATGATACCTAGTTTTTTGAAAATTGGCTGACACGGTTCCCGAAAACCTACATCTGCCTATATTCGAATGGCTCGCTTTTGTAACCTAAAGATATTGAGAGAACCAGGTGAGTTTCCCCAAAGAACAATCCCATAACCAATGTGAGAATGAAAAAGCGAATAATAATTAATTTTTAATATATCGAAGCTGGTAATATTTTGAAGTTGTCGTAAAACATAAATAGTGCTGGATAACTTGCTCCTAAGCTGATTTGTATGTTGATGCCAAGATAAAGTATTGTCAAGTGTTATGCCAAGCAATTTCACGCTATCATTTGAGGGGCCTACAGTGGAGAATTGAAGACGTTGTGTCTTATTGGTATTTAATTTCAAATTATTTGTTAGAAACCAAGTATTAGCTTTATTTTCAATGTCTTCCGATATTTCTGTTATTTTGTTGATACTATTTCCACTGTAGATTAAGGTGGTATCATCAGCATGAAGAATTGTTTCATTTGGCGCCATAAAATTGCAGAAATCATTTACGTAGATGATAAAAAGTAAGGGCCCAAGAATAGATCCTTGAGGGACTCCATGTACTACAGGTTTGACGCTAGAAATGGTATTATTGCAAGAAACATCTTGATATCTATTTGTGAGGTACGATTTGATAAGTGTTAACGAAACTCCTTTCACCCCATAATATTGTAATTTTTCAAGTAACAGCGTGTGTGACACGCAGTCAAAAGCCTTAGATATATCAAAACGTGTAATGGCAGTATGCAGTCCATCTTCAAGGCCATCAATGACATATCCAACTATATCTAAAACAGCTTGCGAGGTGGATCTTTCTTTGCGGAAACCATATTGGGAGTTTGAGAAAAAATTATTTGTTTCAAAATAGGAATAAAGGCGTCTTTTTAAAATTATTTCAACAATTTTAATAAAAATTGAGATAATAGAAATAGGACGGAAATTATCCAAGGAAGAAATATCTCTTTTTTTAAATATTGGGATCACTTTGGAGAACTTAAAAGAATCCGGAAATATGCCTGTTTCAAAAATCAGATTTACTAACATGGTTAACGGGTATAGTATGATGTCGAGTGTTTCCTTGATAACACAACACAATAAAAAATATTTTTTGAATGTTTCCTATACTAAATTAGTCAATTTCTACTAATTTTGGGGTGATAAAAACGAAAATAACAATGAAAAATTTTTATTAGCTCTGGTTTTTGAGATACACAGTACTTAATCTTAAAGAGTAGTTATACTATACGTGAAAAGTGAAAGTACATAAAACAATATTGTTATGTTTCTTTTAGAATATTTTAAGTACAAAATTAATAAAAAAAACATTATTCTTAGTGTTTTGACAAATAAAAGAAGTTTGTACCACCAAATTTCAATTAAGTCCATCCGATTCATTGTAAGATCGCTGTCGTTTAGCTTGTCTTTTATAAAACACTTCTGGAGCATCCCTACACACAGACCAGCAGTAGTCTGCAAGCATTGCTTCATTCCAACGGCCCTGATATC